AGAAACTCAGAATTGAGAAAGTGGAATTTAGCAGAGGGCTGGGGAAAAAGAAGCCTGGATTGCTGAGCGGAGTACCAGAAAGGAATCTCTGGAACCATCTCCATCTGGAGAAAGCAGATGGCAGGGCAGCCTCTATCGGTATGGTAGGGAGGTCTGATGGTCCACATCTGAGTGGAAGACAGTTTTCAGTGGGAGGTTGGGGGTTGGGCCCACACAGCTGCCTGACATGTTTGCTAAAATGGAATTATGGTTTATTGAGTAGCAAAGAAGCACCCAGCTGCCTGAGAATAACACTGACAGGATGCAAAGGCGAGAGAATATTGTGTAAACCTTATTTGCAGATCAATAGGTAATCTTTCATATACAAAAGGTCAGCTCCAAGAAGGCAGAGCAGTAAAGAAAGAAATATGGCCTGCAAATACAATAGTGACTTAAAAAAAAATCCACCCGGCTGAATACTTTGATGTATATTCTTCTAGTTAAAGAGCATTTCTTTATTCATGAGCATCTTCCCTATCCACTTCATGTTAATTGTGAACACATCGATGAAGAGCACTGATTTCTAGTTGTCCTTAATTCTGTGCCATCAAATGAGTAGCATGAAGTGGGGATCAACACAGAACTTCAGAACAATTATTTGTAAGTCTGTGTGTGCAGCAGTTAGGACGCTCAAGTTGAACAGTGGCTTACTCCATACCCCTCACAATCTCCTGCCTTGGTGCCTTCACTGCTAAACATTTATCCTGACTTAAGAAGCAAAACAACCCTGTTAAGTCAACCTTCCTGGTACCCACTGGATTCCTTCATGCATTCTGTGTTTTTCCTTTGGCTTGACACAAGGAGTTAATCATCCCAAAGGATATCTGAAATTGTTGCTATCTGACTTCCTGGTGGCCAGATTATGAGGCTGTTATGACTGGTCTCAGGCACAAATAAGCATGAAAGGAGATATGAACTGAGTTCCCTTCACCCACAGATTCATACGTTGAAACTCTAGTCTTCATGGTAACTATATTTGGAGATAGGACCTTTAGGAGACACTGAAGTTTAAGTGAGATAATAAAAATGGAACCCTAATCCTATAGGATCAGTGTCCTTGTGAGAGGTGATACTGGGGACTTGCTCTTGCTTATTCATTTTTGCTCATTTGAGCACATACACTCTCTTGTTGTCTGCCATCTGAGGATAAGGAAGAAGGAGACATCTATAAGCTAGGAAGAGGCCCACTACTAGGAACCTAATTGATTGGTATCTTGATATTAGACTTCGAAGCCTTATAATTATCTGAAATAAACTTCTCTTGTTTAAGCTGCCCTGTCTATGGTATTTTGTCACAGTTTACTAATGCAAGATAGAAGTTTAATTGCGCATCATTTCCCTGATATAACCTTTAAAATCAGAGGACTGACTGTGAATTTATCCTGATGCATGGGTTGTTGGTGGGCATGCCATCAGAGGGCAGATTTGTTCCAATCCGAGGGACATCATGTGTCCTGTGCCCTGTGCTGGAGAGGAATGCACAGCTGGGAAATGCACTGTTTTCTTAAAGGAGCAGCATGGAGTGGAATCCACACCTTCATCTGGGTGAAGAATCAAAGGGCTTAAACACTGTAAAGGCCTAGACTTGGCTTTGTGTTGGGGGTACATACAGCAGAAGATGGGAAAGGACCTTGGGCAGTATGGATTATGTAACTGTTTGGGACTGATGTTTGAGTCTCTTCAGATTTATATGCTGAAACTTTAACCCCAACATGATTGTATTTGTAGGTAGGGCATCAATATTAAATGAGGTCAGGAGGTTGGGACCTGATGGTGAGTGGGATGAAAGTCTTTATAAAATGAGGAGGATAAATAGGCTCTCTTTTCCTCCTCCATGTGCAAGCACCAAGGCAAAGCCAAGTGAGGCTACAAATGAGAATGAAGATGACTGTCTGGGTATCGGGAAGAGGACCCTCCCCAAGGACTGACCCTGCTGATGTCAGATTTCCATCTTCTGGAACCATGAGAGAGGTTTGTTGTCAAGTCCATCCAGGCTGTGGTATTCTGTTATAGCAGCTGAAACTGACTAAGACAACAGCAATTTACTTTTCAGAGTAGAAATGGAGAATTCCTTGGCAATGACACAATCTTTCCCAGATTATTATTAGTGTTTTTTTTTTCTTTTCTCTGTTAGACAGCAGGTTTAAAATGTGCTGAAAAATAACCTTCTTTCAGAAAAGAATGTGGCTGGAATCAGTCACCTCCAACTTTCTGTGAACTGACACAGGAGCCAGGAGAGATTGAGGACTCTTCACCTCAAAGTGAGAAAAGGACATTAAGGCAGGCTGGACTTGATGACAGGTGACACAGATTCAGCTTCTCCTAGGGTCAAAGGGATAGTGTTGTCTCCTTTGTTCTGGCAAAGAACCTCCTACCTCCCATCATCCTGTTGGACTCTGCTTTCCACCACAGTCTTCTGAGTTCCTCCCTCACTGTAGATCCCATTAGGAAGAACAAATGATTCTGGCCGTAGGAGTGGAGCAATGAAGGGGTCATATGCTACATCCTTTGGTTCCAAACTTTTTTGTGGCTCCTCATTCCATGTTTACTTGCTCCAACCACCATTTCCAGACATGATGTTTTTATTGGGGAGCTATGGGATGTATGTGTATGAGTAGCTCCTTTTCTTCATGAGCTTGTCCTCTGCAGGAGTGGTTGGCCTCAGCTAGATCATTTGTGAATTGTGGTGCCATGGGGGTTCCTTTTTACTTCCTAGAGTCCCTGTGTTCTGTTACTGAAGGCTCTGTGACTCCCATATTTCACTCAGGCATGTTCTTAGGGGTAAGGGGGAAAAGAAAGATGAAAAAGAACAAAAATAAGGAAAAGAGAAAAAGTTGAAGGAAACCAACTGGGTAAGAGGCACTAAGAAGTTTAGATTTGCCCAGTTATTTATATTCTTTGTACTAAAAAGTTTGCAAAGTTTTTTTTTAACAGTTATAAACTTACTTGGTTTTCATAACCACCTATGTTACAGATATGGAAACTGATGTTCAGAGATGGTAGGCTTTGTACTTAGTAAATGTCAGTGTACCCTCTGGATTCTAGTCCTTCTACTTCTTATGTATTTTCTTTTCTGTATTTCCCCCATTAAATGTAAAGGCATATTTCACCTTGCTCTTTTGGAACCCAAGTCAGATATTTTGGGAACAGCTGAAGGCCTCAGTGGTCATCAGAATTCTCTGTTGAACATTTACTAGGGTTTTCCTGGTAGACTCAGCAGAACCATTGTGCTGATCAAGGCACAGACAGGTGAAAAATGATTGATGATTGTTGCTTTACACCTCTGTCTTTGGGGGGTGGTTGGTGATACATGATTATTATGTTAATAAATAACAACAAATACACAGACATTATGATTTCCATTCTCTTGAGGAAGAAGTAGACTATGTGAGACTAAGCTGTTGCCTGTGATCAGAAGGTAGTAAATGGACCAGAAAATTCCACTTCAACGTCCAAAATCTTGTGTGTTATTTGGAAGACCCCACCATAACACCCAGGGCCCTGTCAAGCCCTCAGCTGGTTTGAAAGCCATTTTAGTGAAGAGAGCAGTGCTTTTAGTGATGGGGTCAAGCCCAAAGGATGGAGCACAAACTCCAGGACTCCCTTTGCTGATCAAATAATATGTTACTAATACAAACTTAAAAAATAAAGCTGTAATCTGTCAGAGGAAAAAATACATACATGCAAAACAAGGAAGGCAATTTTTCTGAGGTCAAGGTCACAAACTAAACCATAGCAGAAATTTTGGCTGTACTTCATTAACACTAAATTATGGCTGAGTTTTGTAAGAGGTCCGTATGACAGTCTCATTAATGCAAATGGCATTCCTTATTCCTGTTTTTGCAAATGAAAACAAAATGCAATTATATTAGTGGAATTTGCTCATTAAACTAAAGTCTACCATCAAGTGTCACCCCACCTCTATGTCTATTCCCTTATTCCTTGACAAAAAATTGGCATCTGAAATGAACAGACACTTCTCAGACAAAGAAGTAGAAATAGCAAATAAACATATGAAAAAATGTTCAACCTCACTGGTCCTTTGAGAGATGCAAATGAAAACAACACTGAGATTCCACCTCACCCCAGAAAGAATGGCTGTTCTCAAGAAATCACACAATAACAAATGCTGGTGGGGCTATGGGGAAAGAGGAACCCTGCTTCACTGCTGGTAAGGATGTAGAATGGTGTAACCACTATGGAAATTAGTATGGAGATACTTCAAGGAAGTAGTACTGGAAGTCCCATTTGACACTGCTGTCTCCCTGCTGGTTTTCTTTCCCAAGGAATTCAAAGAATTAAAAGAATCACAGTGATATATGTGCACCCATGTTCATAGCAGCACAGTTGTTGATAGCTAAAACTTGGAAGCAGCCCATTTGCTCATCAGCTGGAGAATGGATAAAGAAAATGTGATTTTTCTATAAAATGGAGTACTAGTCAGCCATAAAGAATGAGAAACTAGAGACATTTATAGCTAAATGGATGCACATCGAGGCAATACTCAAGTGAAATAAATATTATACATGTAAATACCGAAGTTTCTCTAGTGTGAGAAACTGAAAGTGCAAATAAGGACTAAAAGATATGATAGATAATTTGAAATAGGAAGAAAAGGTGCAAAGCAAAAGGGGAAATGGGAAGGGTAGGGGAAAAGAAAAATGGGAATGGAATTAACGTGAGGAAAAGAAAAAATGGAAACAGTCTTTGTAGATAGGGAGGGTGGAGGGGTTGAAGGGAGGGCAGGGGAATGGGGAAAAAACAAGAACCCAGATGGATTATGTGAAGGTGCAAATTTCCAATGATGAATGCCACTACATTGTATACCTTAAATGTACCAATAAAATTAATTGATTTTTTTAAAAAAGCAATTATTCCCCAGGGTAGCCTTGGAGTGTTTTACGAAAATAAGAAGACATAATTTGGTAATAAAGGGAATTCCAGAATATATAAATTCTTACAGATATCGGAGGTTGGGAAGGTTCTGGAAGGCCTCAGGATTGATGTACAGCAGGTTGTTAGCCTTTTCAATTCTACTATAAAACAGGAAAGTACATAGGAGTTATCTCAACAGCAAGGAATGCTGTAATACTTTTCATGTTGTGCAGAGTACTTCAATAAATCATTTATTTAGTCATCCATCCATCCATCTCTCCATCATCATCATTTGAACAGATATCAAGCACACATACAGCATTTCTTCTTACACGAACTGTGCATACTAAATATTAACCCTGTTCCATGTGATGCTCCTCACTTGGGACCTGTCTACTAAAGTCACTTTCACCTGAAGTAGAGTTGTCTTCAGCCAATGTGGCTCTCCCAGGGTTGGAGTATAGGGGATGAGACTAACATTGGGAACTGAATTTTTATCTGCTCTGGGGACAAGAGAGGAGAAGAAAAGCAAGCAGAGAGGATGAAAAGAAGCTGAGAGGGAGTAGGAAAAAAGACAAGAGAGCAAAAGGAGATGGAGAAATAGAAGTGAAATGGCAAAGAGAAATGAAGATTAGGATTTAAAAAATTGATATTTCTTAATTTTTAACCGGCTCAGAAGAGGCCAGTGATTCCTCTCATGTTATAGGCTGAGGCTTCTCCTTCACAGCTCAGGGGACGTGGTGACTTCTGCCCTATGTTGGCCTGCAATACACTATATCCTGATCAATAGTCTAGAAGTGAGCATGTTCACATTTAGGTTCCAATACAGAGTCTGTCTTTTCCTCGTCTTCTTGGATCAATGTATATTTGCAGAGATACTTTTTGTTTTTTACTTCTTCCCCATTTCATTAGCTTTTATGTTTCAGTGACCTGTAACTACCCTGACCCAAATATCAGACAGTTGTTTTAAACCAAGCCTGTATTACATGAGTCCGAGAACTTCTCCATGCAAGGAAGAGATGAAAGAGCCATCTGTTGTCCCACGGCCCATTGGACTGGGTGGAGGAAGACCTACTTGACCATGCTCAGAGACTGGCTGCCCTTTCTTGCATTTCTCTGATATACTCCCTGGGTTCTGAGACTCCAGTCAGTCTCTTTGCCCAATTAGGGACGAAGGAAGCCAAGCAGAGAGTGAAGAAAGGGAGGATCACCATGAGGGTAATGACAGCGAGGAAGAATGAGAGCCAGAGGGTGGGTGGGAGGCAGGGTGGATGGGCGAGGAAGAGGGAGTGTGCCAAATGGGCAGACTGAGTGTCGTTCCTAAACAAGTTGCTTGACACACATGTGTGAACGCATACACTTACATTTTTTATCTGTACCCTATTAATGCTTGGAAAATGCTAAATGCAAAATCCTTATTTTAAAAGAAGAGACAAGGAGCTAAGAGATTTATGATCAAGTCCTTATTCTGCTTGTCGGTTTGGCTGGGTGGCTTCAGACAGGCCTCGTTTCTCTGTGCCTTTCCCGGTGCCTCATCTGTAAAGTTAGAAGAGTGGCTCATTGGTTTTTCTAGATGTGTTCCATGGGGATTTTGTGAGAGGTTCATAAATGCTCCACAAAAGAAATCTTCCCTGTGACATTAGTTGAGAAACAATATATTTACTTGGATTTTCGAAATGTCTATTAGCGTGAAAAATTTTCTGAGTTTTCCTCTAGTTAATGAACTTTAACTTAACTTGCCCAGTGTTTTCTAATCTTATTTTATAATCTTTTCCCCTTTTTTAAAATACTGATATTTTCTTGGGTTCTTCATGATGCACAGAAAATAATTTGGAAAATTATTATCAGGGCTCTAAAGTCTCTTGCAGCCTTAGAATTTTGTGACTTTTGAATTAATTTATGGTAGTAACAGACTGGTGTGAAACAGAAGTAGATCTGTGTGAGTGCTGACATGTTTGTAAGATGTAAGACTGGAATGCCAGTGAAAGAAAGAACATTTGTTTGCAGTAACAGAGGAACCAAGGATCATTGTAACATAAATACTCTATACCAGTTGATAGGCTAATTTTAATTTACACTAATCATTTCATCACCATTATAGTAACCCCATAAGGTGTATATTTTATTCCAGCTTTTACAGATGAGAAAACTAAGTCTCAGATGGCTATGGATCTTCGCCAAGGTTCCTTGGAAAGTATGGGGTAAAGGCTAGGATAGGGTTCAGACTAGGACTACCGATGATTCATTTGCACCGTGTGGGATTATTTTGGGTGTTGATGTGGAATGGCTTTAAGTGAGATGAAAAAACAGAGGTGCTTTCTCACAGTCATGGGGAAATTTTGGGGGCTCTATAGAGCAATATCTGTGGGAGGCAGTGAGCAGGAAGCTATTCTCTGGGCTGGTGTCTGGATTCCCAAGCAGAGACTCATGGGCATCTTTTTCAGGTTGACTTTAACATCTCAGAATGACAATCTAGGGACCAGAGGACAGAACAGAGTCAGGGCCTCCAAGAAATAGAAGAGAACTTCAAAGATGTTGTCAGAATGGCTGTAAGACAACTCCCTAGCTTTGTTGCTTACATTTCATGTAAGTTGGGCAGGTTGGAGAACACATCTGCCTCTATCACTTCCAAGGCATCGTTCTGAGAGATCTCTCTGTAGAGAAAGAAACAGAGTTAAGTCAGTTCAGTTACGTTCCACTTATGCTTTCAGGGCTCAACTAGAGCCTGGTGCCAGGAGGAGTCAGGAGACACGCAGCACTCCTTTTCTGCCCTCAAAGAGGTCAGCTGTAGCAATAGAACAAAAATAACATACTAGATGCTAATAGCTGTGAGGAAAATGGAAGAATAAATTCAAAGCAATGGCTCATGGTAGAAACTGTCCGGTCTGCAGATCTAGAAATAGGGAAGATACTTTTTTAAAGGTATTTAGACAATACAAAGGATGAGAACAGACTTTACCTTCTCTAGACCAGGGTTCAGCACACTTTCTCTACAGGTCTGGAAAATAAATATTTGGTCTCTGTCACAATTACTCAGTTGACACTGCAATACCGAGAGTCATCTCACACCCCCAGGGTGTGGCTGGGTTCCCATTAAACTTCTTTTACAGGGCCGGGATTTAGCTCAGTGGTTCCGGTGCCTGCCTCACAAGCACAAGGACCTAAGTTCGATCCCTGGTACCAAAAAAAAAAAAAAAAAAAAAAAAAAA